CGGTCTTACTCACTTCTTGAGCGGATTGGCCAACATCAAGTCTGAATTCTTAGTTTGCCACCAAAATTATCTTCCAAAAAAGATGAAAGTGGTTTGAGTGAGCTTGGCTACAACTCGATGATTTTCCTATTTGCCCTAGGGAAGGCCTGCAAAAACCATCTCTCCCCCATGTTCTAAGGGCAAGGATTTGTGCAACTCATGGATTCCATTACACCCTTGCCAACTGCTATGTGTCCCTTCAAGACACTCCTCCTTCCAAGTGCCTCACAGATGCCATGTTTGTGCAGGGAAGAGAAGAAAGAAGAAACAACATGACGGGCACCCCCGCAACCCGCCACCCGGAATCCCCAACCGAGTTCGGCGCCTCTCGCAGCCGCTTCTCAAGCTCCTGAAGCTCTAAGACGGGGAACGCCAAGTTCTCACTTGCCCCCATACTTTGGATGAACAAAATCCATTTCGCAGCAATTTCGCACCACCTAAGCAACCATGAGACACCATTCTCGGTTGCTATTTACAGGGGAATCAACCGACACCAGGGTTTCTCAGGTGGTGCGAAATGGAGTTCGTCCATCAAGAGGGCTCCGAAATAAAAGGTCGCCATGGGAACCCCAGCAGGGAAACCAAAAGAAAAAGGTCAGATCCGGTTGATTTGCTTTGGGCCAACTGGGTACTGAGGTGTTGCACTCTTGTCAAAGGCGAGAGAAACCAGGAGGTGTTCCATCAAACCCATGAATTCAGGCGGCCTCTTGGCTAAATGGTAACTGCACAGGCTCACAAGAACCACCCAAACCAAGCAGCACTGTTCATGTCCACCTTCTTGCCACCCGCAACCTATGTGCTTGCCTCCTGCGTGTGTCATGGGTGTGAGAACCACAACGTTTGGGGTTCCTTTTTTCACCCAATAGTGAACCTCAAAATGCACAAAACAAAAACACAAACATGAAAAAACAAGTTAAAAGAGGAATGTGCATGTGTGTGTAAAATGATTTAGCCCCTTGGTTTCGAATGTTGAGGCCAAGTTGAAGTAAGCTTCCGTTGGTGGAGTGGCGTATGTTTCCGCCACGAAAGCCCCACTGCATCATTGTTCAACACTGGGATTCGGCATTTGGGCGTCTCTTTGCTTCTGGGACCCGCCAGAGTGGTCTTTTCTTTGCTTTCCTGCAACCACCAGGCAACTGGGCCCTCAGAAACACACCCATCTGTTCATGTGGCCAGGGTTGCCCAGTTGCCCCATATATGACCATGGAAGTTTGGGCCTTGGACAAGGAAACTCAAATCGCAATCCTTCTGACAGGAAGTGCCAACCAAAGGGGCCTCTGGAGGATTGACATGTCACCGGGAGTCTCACGCTGTAAAAACCTCCCATTTGGTGAAGCAAACCTTTGCCCAGGCCAGGATGGAAAGCCAAGAGACGCAAAAAGGTCGCAAAGGTAAGCTAAGTTTGGGGGTTAAAAGCCAAACGCAAACTGTCTGGCTAACCATGAATTTCCTTTCCCCTTTTGTCGGGCTCACCTCAAAATTAGTGTCGACCCAGGATTAATAAACCCGTCCCATTATTCGGGAGGTGTTCCCTCCAAAAATGATGAATCCCCACTAAAAGGGGACACCCCCCTATTAATCAACCAGGGGTTTATTAATCCGGGGTTAACATTACCCAAACACGGAACCCCATGCAGATGGCCCAAGCACAGCTTGGTGAAAGCTGGTTCACCCCGACCGGCCTGGGTCAGCTGCTCGCAGCTGGCCGCCGCGTTCTCGCACCTGCCCAAGCGCTCTGAGAAGTCCTCCTGAAGGCCGAGGCTCACTGGGGGTCTTTTATTTTGCTAAGGCACCCGGGAAAATATTCCAGTAGTGGTGACTTCCTTTTAAAAAAAACAACCAAAGGAACACCATAATAATAATATATTCTTAAGCAAATGGAGGGGGCCGATGGCCAACAGGCCCATAAGGTGTTGGGCGCAAAAAAAATGCGGTGTTTGCGCAGCAGAAGTACAACATGATCACCTTTTGGGGGAAACCGTTACAGATGGGAACCCGAAAAGAAAAAGGGGGAAGCAAAATGTCACAAGTCGGTTCCCCTGGGGCGAGCTGGCAAAGTGCCGGCCAGCTGTCCTGGTCCGGCCTCATGTCACGGCCTGTCCGTGTCACAGCTGTCTGTCACAAGTTCCCGCCACGGCTGAGTAAACAAAATCATTTGGCTGTGGGTCAAAACCAGGAACTACCAGGGGGCCACTGGTGTCAGTCCATGCTTCTATTTAACAGGGCTCCATTTTGGGCACCTATTTCTGCCCAGCCATTTCGGAGAGCCCTTTCGGAAAAGCGCCGCGGCTCCTCCAGGGCGGCGGCGGCGTGCCGGGCCACCTCCTGCGCCACCTGCTTCACGTCAGGCACCTTCGCCGCGGCGCCTCGGCGCACGTCAAGCCTAAAGCGCTCGCATCGCTCGCCTCCTAGCAGGCAGGCAGGACGCGGGGGGGGGGGGGGGAACCCAAAGGATCTAGAGGTTTATTCCGGGGGAACCCAAAGAGTAGAGATGGGATGGCTGCTTTCCGGGGGTTGGTTCCTTTTCCATTCTTTTCAACCATCGTTCTTTTCAAAAACCGACCGCTGTTTCTTCAGGCTTTCTGGAGATTTTCTAGAAAGAAGGATCCCTGGGTTCAGAATGCGGAAGGTACCCCTAGACGCCCCTAAGGAGGCTGGTTAAACCATAGCGGCTTCAACATGCTTCCAGCCGTCTCCCCATGTGAAAGCTCGCGTTACTAGGCCGGAATTAGGACCCTAGCAAAAAAATAGTTTTTTTGCCTGGTTAGTGGAAAAAAAGCGAAAAAGGAAACAGGGGAGCTAATTCTGGTTGGAAGTTAATTACTTGTTTGTTGCTGTGTTTGACTGGTGTGTCGTGCGTGCGGGCGTGTGTGTTACCTTTGTCAAAGCTGTACGGATTTCAACCGGGCGTGCTTCTTGCGGCGCAAGCTCTCGGCTCTCGCAACAAACAGACTGTCCCCAAACTTTGTCAAATGGGTATGGCTCAAAAAACCGGAATTCCAAAATGGGTTGCCCGGTAAGTGGAAAAATGGACCAAAACCTGCGTAACCCTAGCTCTTGAATTTTGAGCCACCGCCAAATGGGCGTGTCTCAAAATAGGGACCCTTGACCCCCCTCAGTGACTCAACAAAAAAGAAGAAGTGATTCTCCTTCTAGTTTCCCTGAAATTGGCTGGAAGTAGAACCCCGGCGAAAAATATATATCTCTTTTTTGCCTGGTTCGTGGAAAACAGAGGGGACCCCAAAAAAGCAGGGGAGCTCATTCTGGTTGGAAGAGAAAGGGTACCCGTGAACAATCACCCAAATGGACCGTCTCCACCTCTCCGGGCCTTTTGACGGCGTCGCCCGTAAACGCAAAACGCGAAACGCCCCGCGCATCCATGTGAGGCCCGAGTATCAAATCCCCCCATGAGATTTAGAACCCTCAGTTGCTCATCTCTACTCTTGGTATGGTAGCGAAAAACTTTGCTTTTTGCAGACCCCCAGTAAAAATGAACAGAACCAAACAACTGAAAAAACAAAAAAACTTGCCAAGAACAGTGAAGTTGCCTTAAAAGGGGACCTGGAAATATATCTAGTGATCGCCTTTCAAGGCCACTAAAAGTGGGAACCCGAAAAGGGACAACCGTTTAAGCTCTGATCCGGTCGATTCGGTTTGAAGAAGCGCGGAGATCCGCACCGCTCGGTTTTGGGATAATGTATCACCCAAACATGTTCGCAGCGGATGTTTCAGATTCGGTTTACCCAGCTGGGTGCTGCAGCAAGGCTCGCAGAGGCATAGAACACACCAAGTTCACAGGGGAACCCCTTATTTTTCTTCGTCAAATTCTGGTCTACCCGCGACGCTTGAACGGTGAACATATACATGGAGGTCCGATCCGGAAATGGTCTTCCAGACCCTCCTTGCTCTTGAAGACGGGAAGGTAGAAGCCACCAAAAAGGAACTCACCCGCACCTGGAATTAAATCAGCTTCTAATTTGTGGTTTGGATTGGTGATTAAGGAGGGGTTTCCCATGTACCCTCTACAAGAACCATTGGGTCAAATCCCCAAACCACCGATCGAGGGTTACCTGAATAAAGGCCAACTTCTTTGGTATAAACCGACAACACCCAAGGCTGCGACCCCCTCAAGCACTTGTGCAACTTCTTCAGCTATTTTTGAGGGGGGGGGATGACTCGAAAACCTTCGAGGGTTTCAAAGCCGTTCAGAAGGGGCGGCAAGGCAATGGGGTAACCCAAATTCATCACACCCCTGGTAAATCGGGGTTCCTTTGCTGGCTTTGTCTTTTTCGGCGAGCTTTGCTGTTGTTTGCCTGGGCTCTTGCCAACCCGATTTTCCTAATGTAAAAATCTGGACATGAACCAGGCAAGCAAACCTATCGTGTCTTCGGGGTTTCCCTTGACCGGTCACGTGGGTCATTCCCAAATTGGCAAGTCTCTGACCAAGTTGGGCTTCCGGATCTTGCGCACCGAAACAACCACCAAAACCAGGGAAACCACAGTTTGACTAGATACACTTGAACGCAGCAATTCTTTCTCCTTTTGGGGGTAATGAACCAGACCTGGGTTTAAGTCTTCCCAGTGAATCCCAGTTGCCCTTCTACGTGGTAGCTACAACCAGCTAACTGTCCTGTTGGTTTTTCAAGGGTGGCAAGCCCTTTACCTACAAAGCCTTGTAAATGGATCCACTGAGATGGGGTAAAGTGAAAAATCCAGACCCAAAGGCTTAAAACCTGGGGATAAAGGAATGCAACCACCTAGGTCCTCCAGAGAGATCTTAGAAGACCCACTTTCTGCAGGATCTCTATTTTAGGGGAGCCCTCCCCAAAAACCAGAGAGTAAAAAGGGGCACCTAGCTGGGGGGACTTGGCCACCATTGCTTAAGGACTTTCCTCCCAATTGGCCGATTCGCAAAAAAAATCCATCGAACCACCTTGCGCCAGGTGGCTCCGGGCCCCTTCCTTGGCACTTTGCGGATGGCACTCCGCGGAACGACACCCCGCAAACCGGGGCTCGTCATACATGAGCGTTATCGATCAAAACTGGGTTGCCTTACTGCGAAGCCCTGCTGAAAGTGACTAACTTTGAGTGGTTTGATGGAAAACCCCTTCGTTGGCAAAAAGTTGCAGTCCTGGCGGCTTAATGGCCAAGCAAAATGCGCCAAAGAAAGCCCGGGGATTGGTGAAAGTTAGTAAGGGACAATCGCCAGAAACAGCTGCGGATATCCGCCTTGGTAATTCTGTACTTTAGAGCCTCCGGCTCAGTCCGCCGACATTGTCCTCTCCCTTTTCTCCTTCTTCCCTCTCCCTTGTCTCCCTCGTGCGTTCTGTCGTCCTCTCTCCCCCCCTCTGCTCCCCATTCTCCCCATCCCCCCAAGCCTCTCTCTCCTCAATCTCCCTCTCTCTCTCTCTCTCGCTGTCTCTGTTTCTCTGTCTCTTTCTGTCTCCCTGTCTCCTTCCTGTCCACGCCCCTCTACAGAAAAAGGGCACCCTAATTCGAACCTCTCTACTCTCTCACTTTCTCGCTCTTTCTCTCTCTCTCTCTCTCTCTGTCTTTCTGTGTCTCTCTTTCTCAGTCTCCGTCTTTCTCTCTCTCGCTGTCTCTCTCTCTGTCTGTCTCTTTCTCTGTTTCTCTGATTCTGGCTCTGTCTGTGGCTCTGTCTCTCTCTCTCTCTCTTTCTGTCTCTCTCTCTGTCTCTCTCCCGCTCTCTCTCTCTCTCTCTCTCTCTCTCTCTCTCTCTCTCTCTCTGTCTCTCTCTCTCTGCATTGCAGCGTCACGTCCCCCCCCGAGTTGCCTCGATGTCCGGGCACTGCCCCTGCATGACCCTGAGCTGTCATCTCACTACTGGCTTTCCCCCTTCATGTCCTTGTCACGTTTCCCATGATGTCCTGGTCCTGTCCCTTCCATGCCATTCAGCCCCCCCTTCATGTCCCTGACATTTTCTCGGTATGTCCGCTTCATTTGCCATGTATGTCCCGTTCTTTCGTTGCGAGTCATTTCCCTACATCTCCCGTCGTGCTTGGTTTCCTTGTGCTTTGTTTCCTCTCCTTCCCCCTGCACTCCCCTTGTTTTCATTTCTGTCCCTTGCATGTCCCTTTCAGTTCCCCTTTGTTTCCCTTTCATGTCCCGCTGCTTTCCTGTCATGTCGACTTCCTATTTCCTCCCCTCATTTCACTTGCACTTCCTTGCATTCCCCCTCTGCTCCCCAATATTCCCAGCAAAAAAACACGGGTTTTCCAGCGTTTTCACAATTAGGACGTCCAAAAACACAGAGTTTTTCCAGATTTTCTGCAAAAGGAGGCAGGAACCCCAAACCAGCAAAGAGCCGGCAGGGGGAATCGAGCCTGGGACCCCTGTTTTGCGACACCGGCTCCCCGAAGACTACGTTTAGTGGAACGTCATCAAATTGCCGCACGGTCCTTGGGGGGGGGGGGGGCCCCCCCTGCCGGCTCTTTGGTTTGGGGTTCCTGCCTCCTTTTGCAGAAAATCTGGAAAAACTCTCTGTTTTTGGACGTCCTAATTGTGAAAACGCTGGAAAACCCGTGTTTTTTTGCTGGACATATTGGGGAGCAGAGGGGAAATGCAAGGAAGTGCAAGTGAAATGAGGGGAGGAAATAGGAAGTCGACATGACAGGAAAGCAGCGGGACATGAAAGGGAAACAAAGGGGAACTGAAAGGGACATGCAAGGGACAGAAATGAAAACAAAGTGCAGGGGGAAGGAGAGGAAACAAAGCACAAGGAAACCAAGCACGACGGGAGATGTAGGGAAATGACTCGCAACGAAAGAACGGGACACACATGGCAAATGAAGCGGACATACCGAGAAAATGTCAGGGACATGAAGGGGGGGCTGAATGGCATGGAAGGGACAGGACCAGGACATCATGGGAAACGTGACAAGGACATGAAGGGGGAAAGCCAGTAGTGAGATGACAGTTCAGGGTCATGCAGGGGCAGTGCCCGGACATCGAGGCAACTCGGGGGGGGACGTGACGCTGCAATGCAGAGAGAGAGAGAGAGAGAGAGAGAGAGAGAGAGAGAGAGAGAGAGAGAGAGAGAGAGAGAGAGAGGGAGAGAGCGGGAGAGAGACAGAGAGAGAGACAGAAGAGAGAGAGAGAGAGAGAGACAGAGCCACAGACAGAGCCAGAATCAGAGAAACAGAGAAAGAGACAGACAGAGAGAGAGACAGCGAGAGAGAGAAAGACGGAGACTGAGAAAGAGAGACACAGAAAGACAGAGAGAGAGAGAGAGAGAGAAAGAGAAAGAGAAAGAGAAAGAGAAAGAGAAAGAGAAAGAGACAGAGAGAAAGTGAGAGAGTAGAGAGGTTCGAATTAGGGTGCCCTTTTTCTGTAGAGGGGCGTGGACAGGAAGGAGACAGGGAGACAGAAAGAGACAGAGAAACAGAGACAGCGAGAGAGAGAGAGTGGGAGATTGAGGGGAGAGAGGCTTGGGGGGATGGGGAGAATGGGGAGCAGAGGGGGGGAGAGAGGACGACAGAACGCACGAGGGAGACAAGGGAGAGGGAAGAAGGAGAAAAGGGAGAGGACAATGTCGGCGGACTGAGCCGGAGGCTCTAAAGTTTTCTAGACCATGTTGATACCGCGGCCACTTGAGGCCGGTGAGAAGCCGCAAGAACAGAGGCTTGGGCGGCTTTTTTTCGGGGAGGTGGTTACCATTTAGAGGGGTGGTTGTTTTTTTGGGGAAGCCAAAAGGCAAACCGCCACTTCGGGGCGCAGATCTCCAAATATGAAGCATTCGGGACATGGTCTCTGACTACCCGATTTGCTCCTCGGGTGGAGAAAATTCTTCCAGGGAAAAAGACAGACCCGATTTTGCAGAAAACAATGGCAACCCATCCAGAAATCCCTTGAAAGCTTGGTTGCTGCAAAAAACCCTCTGCAACAAGTTTCACATTTTCACTTTTTGTGGGCCCAATGGAACATCCACTGTTTCAACCAAAAGGTGATTCAAGTCCAAAGCTCCAATGGGAGGACATACATTGTACAGGGGATCCGCCACATTTTGCGGAAACAACGGTATTTGGTGTCTTGGAAATAGGGGCGCCCCTTTGTTTGGCACAAACAAAAGGAGAACAACGGGGCACCACTAGAGCCACTCTCTCCAGTTTCATTCTTAAAGGCAATGGGGTGGGCAAACACAACGGTTTGCGGTTGGAACGGCCAGTGCTGGCCATTGGCGAAGCGGAGTTGCGGCCACAAAAACCGCCGAGGCACTGTCTGAGGTTTGCTTCCTATCACTTGACAAGTGGATCCCCTGCACGAAGTGCAAACACGTTTTGCTGGCAAGGAATGAGACATGGAATGGCCCTGGAAAAAAAACGCATCCCGTCTGGTTTCCTAGGGAATCTCCTGCCGGTTCTAACCCTGGGTCATTCGCCACTGCGCACCCAAGCGATGGAACTCCAAAAAGCAAGAAGTCAAAAAGGAAGGTCTGGCAACGCTCAAACAAAGTCTCTTGGGTGTTGGTATAAGATGACCCAGGCTTGGTAGGTTGGTCGGAAAAGTCCTGGCTTCCAAAAAAAAAACGGTCCGGAAACTTGGCAGGCTGTGACGAAAAGCCACACAAGCGCAACTTCCAGCTTTCTCCGGCCACAGTCGAACAAGAGGTCAAGAGACCAAGCACCCCAACAAGCCGACCGATCCACATATGCCCCTTTTAAAAAACCACCCCACCAAAAGGACACTCACTTTGGACCAATAGGTGATGTTCAACACTTAAGGCGAAACAGAACATGTTTTCCTTCAAAAGTTGCAATTTACTGGTGCGCTCCTACTAAATTGCAGCGCTGCAATAAATTGCAACTTTTGGAGATCCAACAAAAAGAAATCGAGGGACAATGCTCTTCCGGTGCTCTGCCACAGGCAACCTTTTTTCCGCAGGTAGCGGCGGCTTGGCTGCTGTGAAATCCGCTTGCACTCTTTCGCACTGAAATCCACTGCCTCACTTCTGATCGATTGGATTGGCCAGAACAGTCACCAAACGTTACCACTACAATAACGAGTTGACTCTCTTCAAATTAACTTGGAATCAAAAGGGGGTTCTCCCAACAAGGAGTTTCCTCTAGACATGATGGCTTGAGCTCCATGTTAATTTCCAGGAGAGTTCTCGGGTCCGAAACGGCGTTCGGCGTCTTTTTCGTCGGCCGGAGCCGCACTCTCTCGGCTCGCCAATTTGGCTCGGAGGCCCAGGTCTGGGAGAAATTGGGCATCCGTCTTTGGTGGGGAACTCTTCCCAAAGAAAAAGGGGAGGCCGCTGGGCTGGGAAGAACTGGCACACACATCGCGACGCCCTTTTTATAGAGCTCCATTAACCTCCACTTGGCCACTTGGTGATAGATTCCCTTAAAAACCAACAGGAAAACATCAAATCTTCTAAGCACATGGAAGCTTAAGAATACAGGTTTGGGTTGGTGAAACAAACAGGTCGCCTTCACGAGCGGCCTCAAAAAGGCTCTCCATCCCCGTTTTCTGGCGGTGTTTGGACACATCCTTGAAGGAACCCTGTTTCGTGTTGTAATATGAATCGGCAAACTTAGCGCTGGCCACAAGAACCCCTGAATTTGGATTTTTTTTGGGGGTTGCCCTGGTTGCTGCTGTTGTCCATTTTGAGACACACCCAATTTCCGCATTTGCCTTCACCCCGAGCCAAAAGACAGCTTGCTGTGTGTGGCAGGAGTCAAGCATTTTCCGCCTGACTCAAGTCCTCCCAAACTTTCGCCAGGTACAAGCAATGCGTAACATGCTCATGGCGATAGCGGGCAGCAACGTCAGAGGGCCTGTCTCCAGCAGTGTTGCCCTTCTCCTGATCCTCGGTTGCCAAAGGACAAACTCAAGATGATCACATTTTCATTCCCAAGGAGGTTTGATATAAACAGCACCGCAGCATTTTCACTCCAAGCGATGCGATACAAATCTGATAACCCACCTTTTTTTGTGGGAT